ACACGACAATTATGCTTACATAGTACTTTCACATAGATTGTTGAGGTCAAAATGGTGCAAGTAAGGTTCTAATTCAACATGACTCCTTTTTCGCAAGTATGGTTCTAATTCAGCATGATGCCTGTTAGATTTTAAAGTTATTGGCTATTCTCGAGACAAAATTACAATTATAAAAGAGTTGTAAAAGTCAAAGAGTCTATTAAGTGTTGTATAGAAGATTGTCTAGTCGTCACACATCATGCCTCATACATTCAACAACAAAATTTGGAGAGTACCTTCTTTCTTTTCTTCCTCATCCCCTTATATTCTTAGTTATGCTTTATGACATTGAACACAATGTCGATTTTAAGTTTGAGGGTGGAAAAAACTTTGAGTTTTCACTTTTCGTGTATTTTTGAGTGTTTGTTTAATAGAAAAAATTTAAAAAAAAAATAAAAAAAATTTGAAAATTTTCAACACAAATAAAATAAAATCAATATATTTCTTGTTTTAGGTTGTGTGCTTGTATGGGTTAGATAGTCTGGCCGGCAATGATGATTAAAATTGAGATTTGATGTTGGTTTATGAACTGTGAAAATTTTGCATGCTAGGCTAATTGATGCTTAGTAAAACGTGGAGGGAACGCATATAGAAAAACGGAGCAGTTGCCTGGCAAAGAAGAAAAGAGAATATCTACACAAAGTGTCTGTTTTTGAAATTCCTAAAATTGCGTTCTTTTTGTCATTCTGAAAAATTGTTTCTCAAAATATAAAAATGGAAAACGCGTTTACTTTGAAATTTTGAGAATATTTTTTAATAATATTTTATTTAAGAAATCTGATTATTCAATGAATTTTAGTAGTTTAATGTTAATATAGTATTAAATAACATATAAATTTGAAATTGGTGAATCTTGAAATATTTTTTTCACATATAAAAAACACAACCTAAATTAAATTTGGCAAGTCCTTATTTTTATCCTCGTACGTAACTTGTGACAAAAATTAAATAGCAGGGAGTAAACATTTCTCTTTATTAGATAACATGAATAATATTTTGGACAAAATTGAATGTTATTTTCTTATTTAGCCTTTGATTCCCATTTTTTATAAAATTCATTTGATTGTGAATTCTCGATGAGCATATAGAGACAAAGCAAGCATAATCTTGTACAAGAAAACCAACGGATAAGCAAACAAAAAATATAGAGACCAAGTGAAGTTGGTCTTCAAGAAAAGTGGTTTTACCATTTGAACAGAAAAGGCAAAACTTGATGGCTAGTTATTGTAGGAGATATTATACCGATAATGTGTATATTATATTAATTAAGA